GGCTTGCACCTGCATGTTCAAGGCACTTTAAGCTTCACGGCTAATGATTTGCCACTTAAAGTGCTGGAATTTCTCAGCGGCGCCTGATCCATGTTCCACTCAGACTGTTCCACTGTCCACAGGGCTGCTCATACTTCTGGTGCCACGCCACAACCCGGTTCTCGCTGGCTTTAAACAAATATTTATCGCCGTTCGTCCACTTCCTTCTCTTCTCTTTCCTTACTTTGCTCAAATCCAGGTGCAACCATCTTGCTAACACCTATCTCCGAACTCCTCCTATTGTCGCGCGAACTTCCCCATGGACTTTATGCCTCGATACGCCTATAAAGTAACACCAACCTCCGCCTACTACACACACATCAGTCGACCCAGACCCAAAACCATACCCAAGTGACAGAATTTTCAACTAGACGAGGATCACTTGCTGCACAGCTTTTGATCATTTGATCGTTATAAACTTGCCTAGATTCAAATTTTGCAAGTTTTCCTCGTCGATTAACCTCCATACTTTTTGCACATTCTCATTTACAACACCACTTTTGGACTTAACCAAGACTTCAGCAAAATGATGAACCACGCTCGAGTAAAGGCCCTCAAGGGCGACGGAAAGACTACATCAAAGAAAGCCATCAAGTCAGGTCGTGCTTCCGCTGGTTTGACTCCTCGAGGCTCTCCTTTCGCTTCGCTTCTCACGTCACCCGCGCATTCCGCAGCCCCGAGTCGGGCTGCTTCTGACGAGAGTGAAGATGACTTCGAGTACGACGATACCATGAGCATTGCTTCCGGAAGCTCTCTAGTCGACACCAACGAAGATGGCACCAACACATTCGACGCCAAGCAGTTTATGGAAGAACTTCAGGATCGCAAGCACAATAATAGCGATGCCCGAACTCAACTTCTAGAACTCTACATTAAGGTTTTGCGACATCGATTCGCCCCTGCCACCCACGAGTGGCTTGACGATTCGGCCAACGAACTCGCAGAGCTTTTCATTCGTGGCGCTAATCGCGGCATGGAAGCCAGAGAGCGTCTCCTCTATCTTCAGGCATATCTTCTGACTCTTAGTTCCTCAGAGGACGCAAACATTCACGAGCATGCCGAAGGAACACTCAAGCAGATAATTGCCGACGACGACGATGAGGAATGCAAGGCCTTTGGCATTTACGCATTGTGCTTTACTGTGCTTTATGGCGGCGGTGGCGAGACGGAGGCCCTTGAGCTGCTCGACTACCTGTACGCTATTGTTGAGTCTGATGGAGACAATATCGATTCCTATGACAATGGCTTCATTGTTGCGGCTGCTCTTCGAGGTTGGGCCTTTGTTGCTAGCCATGTGGACGACTTTTCATATGCCGCCACCATGGCTTTGGATGGCTTTTACGAACAGCTTGACAGTGTTGATGTTGGTGTTCAAGCTCAGGCCGCTGCCTGCATTGCACTCATTTTCGAGGCGGCGCGCAATCATGAGGAGGAGACAGGGGAATCTTGGGATCTTCCCGTCAACCCAGAGAAGCTCACAGGCCGCATGTCAGAGCTCGCCAAGCAGAGCTCCAAATCTGTTTCAAAGAAGGATCGCCGAGACCTTCGAGATAGCTTGATGAGCGCTATCACCTCACTTGAGAAGGGTGTCGGACCAGGATATTCGTCAGCTGGCTATACACCTCAGAAGGGTGATAAGCGCCCAACCTCCAAGCCCAATGAGGATGGTGTCATTGAATTTGGATACCGTCACAAACTTCGCCTCGGCAACTACGTCGCCGTGATCGATTCGTGGTCACTCTCTTCCAGAATCGACATGATGAGACTTCTTTTTGGAGGACACCTACAAAAGCACATTTTTGACAACCCTGTCGTTGCTGAGTGTCTAAGTGACGCCGACTTTAGCGACCAGGGACCAGTCGCCAAGAAGTCCCCTAAGAAATAAGACAACTACATTGCATTGGGATTTGCGGTTTAGGCGTTTTGTGGGCGTTTTAATACAGACATTATACCTGGGGGATTATTACATGGAGGGTTTGAGAAGGGCATACGTATTTGTCGGTCTTTGACGATATTGTCGGAATAGACGAGTGGATGACTGTGCTAATGTGCTTTTTCTGTCGCACTCTTTCAAGCGGCGATATTTGGTGGGTTTACTTTGCCTTTCATCTTTATCAATACAGCGTTTTCACAGTTATTTGTCATGTGCTTGCTTGGTGATTCGAGTGTTTCAATCTTGTAGTAAAAGAAGAGAATGATATTTTTGGAAGATTTTAGCGCTTTAGGCTCGAAGCCACCACATTAACACCTTGAGGCTTGTTTCTCCCATGAGACATAGTTCAGTTCTTCTCAATAACTTGTATCATATGCATCGTGATATTCTATTGGTCGCTTATCATTTGTTATATCGCAAACTAAGCCACAATTTGATCCCCGCTAAACCCATTAATGAAACTTGGCATCAACCACTCATAAGCTGTAGCACATGAACTGGGCTGTTTTCAAGGCAGGCCACCACAAGGCATCGACATTTCTTCTTCTGTCTACCACATAACCTCAATCTATTTCATTCGAACTCGACGGCAAATTGCAATATACACCATGACGCGAGTCTCGGTATACACTTCGGCCCTGGCGGCTTTTGTAGCTGGTAAGTTTTCCGACATTCTGCCCACAGCACGCGCCTGCAATGACGTATGCGACCGGTTCTAGTTCATCTCGAGTTGACAAACAATAGCCACGGTCATGATAGTAATCCCGATATGGCTCCCTAACTGGGTAACATACTCCGTCACTTCGGCCACCGGCGAGATAGTCGAGAGGCATATCGGCTTACACAAGAGCTGTTCAACGCTGGATGATCCATACTGTCGACCATTTCCCCCCAAAGATCTCTGTCAAGGAGGTGAACGATACTTCTGCTCCATGTGGAGGACCGTTGGGTTTCTAGCATCATTTGCTACTCTGTTATGTTTGGGCGGTTTGGTGACCTTTGTTGTCATCATGTGCGGTGGGAAATACAAGCGCGAGACTGGATGGCCTTTTGCCACTGGCATGCTGACCCTAATTTCTGTTATGGAATTTGCGGCTATTTCTATCGTGGTGAGTTGTTCTGCTACGAAAGTGTTTCGATACAAACTAATCTATGCTAGGCGTACCTTTATGATCATGATGATCAGTTTAATATTCCTGGGTGGTCGCTCGATACGTCGTTCTACCTCAGCACCACCGCGGCAGTTATCTGTCTTCTGACTGCTACTGGTATTGCTTTCTCCGCATACCTTCTCCCCCCCGAGGAGGGATACGATTTCTTGTCGGACCCTCTCGATGCTTAGGAAGTCTACAATAACTAATGCTTGGATTTGTTGGCTGCGTATCTTCTAGTCTGATGTTCTCATGGCAGGTGTTTTGTTTCAAGTAAAGAGTCTCTGGTGTTGGATGTCTGGTACATTTCAAGGTGCTGATCTAGAATAATACAAGGGGCTCTGCTGTAGCTACCTTAAATAGATTTAGTTAATCAATAGATTATTTCGCCTATTGGAAGTGACTAGTACCGTGAGCTATAATCATCACAAGTAACTGTGTCTGTCCATAGTTAACCCCAAACTGTCAGAGTCTACAAACAAGTCAGCTTACAATCCTTCTCCTAGTGGTACAACTGCTGTGTGTGTTGTAATTACCTAGTATAGCCGTATGAGGCATGTGGTGATGCAGGCGGGGTATATGTAGCTCCCCACCTTTGCTCTTTATCAACATCAACTTTATCTCACACAACCTCGGTTCAGATAAAGACAAATCACCTCAAGTTATACCCAAGCACTACTTAACTCTTCGAACCAAAAGCACTATGACTACCAATACCCCAGGACTCTCGCCAGATCAGCTGGAAACCTTCAATCGCGATGGCTACCTCATTCTCCCTGGCGCCCTCTCCAGCTCAACTGTCAAATCTCTACTCGACGAAACTCACAATCTTCTCGAAAGTTTCTCTCTAGATGATCACCCTCTCACACGTTTCTCAACCGGCGAGAAACGTGACCATGTTGGTGACGACTACTTCCTGACTTCAGGTGACAAGATTCGGTTCTTCTTCGAGGAAGACGCTTTTGACGATGATGGAAAACTCACCAAACCCAAGGCTCGTGCTGTCAACAAAATCGGCCATTACCTGCACGCTCTATCCCCTCCATTTGCTCGTCTTCTGGACCACGATACAAGCAAGGTCAGCCCACCTGCTGTGGCACGTAGCCTTGGCTTCAAAGACCCTCGGTGTCTCCAGAGCATGGTCATCTGCAAGCAACCAGAAATAGGAGGCGCCGTACCTCCGCACCAAGTATGTCAAGCTGATGCTGTTTTATGACTGACTAACATCCACCAGGATAGCACTTTCTTGTACACCAACCCTCCATCGGCGGTTGGTTTCTGGTACGCACTTGAGGATGCCACGCTAGAGAATGGATGTCTAAGTTTCCTCCCCGGTTCACATCTCTGGGCACCAGTTGAGAAAAGACTTGTTCGCAAGGCAGGCAATGTGGGCACAGAGATGGTGGACAATGACGGACCAAAGTTCCCTGAAGCAGCAGGCTATGGACAAGCAGCGCCAGGCGGACCACATAAGTATGTCCCTGGAGAAGTCAAGGCTGGCGATCTAGTCCTTATTCACGGCAACCTGTTGCATAAGAGCGAGAAGAACACCAGTCAAAAGGGTCGGATTATTTACACGTTCCATATCATTGAAGGACAAGACAGGGACTATGATGATAAGAATTGGCTTCAGCCACCAAACGAGGGGTTCACCAAGTTGTATGCTTAAATGAATACAATAATCTCTAGATAACATATACTATTGCAACGCTCATTAGAGCCCCTTTTTACGTCCACAGATAAGTATGCCGATAGACATACGTTGAAACATGATGCGTGGGTATGTCGATAAAATTAGTCTGCGAACATGGTTTTACAGTCTATCCGGCTCCATCTTCGTCCTAATCCTGTGTCATCAAAGACGGGTATCATAATCCTCACTCAGAGTCCGATTCATCCTCACTCGAACTGTCGTCAGAGCTCGACTCATCCGAGGAAGACGAGGAATCGCTTGAATCTTCCTCGCCGGGCTGTCGATAAGCTCGTGCCGGGGCCTCATTCTCGGATTCGTCCTCAGACGATGATGAGCTCCCGCTGCTGCTGGTTTCGGAGTTACTATCTGAATCAGAGTCCGAGTCCGACTCGGAACTGCTGGAATCGCTGTCTTCGACATTCACACGGAGCTTTCGTCGACGTTTTCCGGCAACGCCGTCGGTGATCTTCACAGTCTTCTCTGCATCTGGAGTTGATGTGACGTTGTTATCGCTTGCAGTGATGGTCTGTGATGATGCGATGCTGGCCACAGTGTCTTCGCCATCGGAGAGTTCGTCAATGACAAGTTCAGCTCTCATGCGCTTCACAAGTCGGCGAATGATGACATCCTCCTCTTCTGAGTCCGAGAGGTAATCGACCTCGGTGAAGCCCTTTCTCTTAGTTCCCACTGGGTGATTTTCAAGAATTTTAGCAAGAACCTCCTCATATCGTTTTTGAGTAGCCTCAAGGTCTTTGGTTCCCTCAGGGAACACCTTTGCTCCATCCGATTGGTCCTGATCCCTAACCTCGCGAGCATTCTCCAGCAGCCGCATCCTGACAAAGCCCTTCAAGTCTTGGATGTAGTCGTAGAAGGTTTCAATGTCAGAGGCGGGGATTCCATCGGCATCGAAAACGTGCTTGATGAGGTTTGATTGGTGGTTTTTGTTGAACTTCCAGCTATCGCGAGCTGTCTTCCAGAGCCTCAAGTATTCAAGCGCAGGCTTGAGATCAGTAGGGACCTGGGGTTGAGGCTTCTTTGCGGGGCCTTTGCTCTTGGCCTTGCTCTGTTTAATGGGTCTTGATGGTGTCCTGGTAGAGTGGTTGTTGGATGGTGAATCGGCAAAGGTGACTGACTTCTGCCTCTTTAACTGTCCCGGTGCATTCCAACTTGTTGTGGCTTCATCCTGACGTGGTCGCTTAGCAACCTGAGAGGAATTGGAAGGTGGCGGGGCGTCGAATTTTCTCTTTGTACTTGACTGGATGCTTGTGCTTGTACTGCTGGTTGGGTGCCCAAAGCTGGGCTCAGATGCATCAGAAGGCTGCTTGAGCTTCAAGCCCAATTTCTTCCAGGCGGGAGTTTGACCAGACATTGTGAGATGATGTTTGTACAGTTGGTTTGAAGGAGAGGACAGAGAAACAGCAAAAAGAACGTGAACGGACTTCGACTCTCAAAAAGTTGACAACCTGAGATTTGTGTTTTCTTCAACTTCCTCAGATTTGCTGTAGTTGCCAGGGTCCTTGAATTTTCTTCTAGCTGCTGTATTTGCGGTGGATTCTCTGTTGATTTTCAAAAGGCCAATAGCAACAGCGCAAAGTCTAAAGGGGGACTCTGAGTTGTCAATTCTGCAAGTTCCTTTTAGCGCAGCGCAAGTGCAAGGCCGATATGCAATGTCGTGTTGTTGCGGGCCGGATCTCCTGGGTTGTCGAGCAACTTTTTTCTGAGGATCATCATGAGTGGATCCAGAGATGCGATAAGATAAGAAATATGGAGAGCTTGAGCGACAATATTATGTGGAAAGAGCTTCAGGCTGACCGGGAACTGTATCATTCAGACCTCTCCGGAAGGCTAAAATTCTGAATGGTTTTGATTTCATACAGCGCCTTATATAGTTTGAGATCGTAGTATGGTTTTTCGCCCATAAAGAAATCCCAGGCTTCTCTTATGAGAAAGCATCATAGTGTCTGTCTTTTGTGTCACCCTGCCACCCACCACCTTCTGCCTGAGGATTACATAATGCCAGCGAGGCATCAACTCAGCCTTCCCATTGAGCTCCGTTGCCTCACTGTGCTCTAGGCAAGCTCCTGCTAACGCGTCGACTATCTCAACCCACAATAGCTCCCCTCAACCTTCGTAACGTCAACCAACATCTCAAACTCGCCTCATTCAGTACTTGACGAGTTCTTCTTGAGCTTCATCTGCTAAATCTACCCAATCCCGAACCGATAGATAACACAAATCCTCCACAATGTCGGGTATGCTATGCTGCCAATCTGGTCTATGGCATTCTTGCTAACACACAAGCAAACAGCCGGCGCATACGATCGACACATTACCATCTTCGCTGACAATGGTCGGCTGTACCAAGTTGGTATGCGAATCCCGGTCGTCAAGAGCACCGAACCTTACGATTTCTTTGACCGATGACGTTGATGGATACATGATTCAGGACTGACATGAATGCAGAGTACGCCTTTAAGGCGATTACGGCTGCCAACATTATGTCCGTCGGCGTGAGAGGCAAGGACTGTGCTGTTGTTCTGTCTCAGAAGAAGGTCCCCGTACGTTGATAATGTCGGACAATCTCATGATCAGGACTGATGAAGGCAATAGGACAAGCTTATGGACCCCGCCTCTGTCACCCACATCTTCCAGCTCTCTCCCTCGGTCGGATGCGTCATCACAGGATCCATCGCAGATGCCCGGGCTTTTGCTCAAAGGGCTCAGGGCGAAGCAGCAGAATTTCGATACAAATATGGGTATGAGATGCCAGCTGATGCACTAGCCAAGCGTCTTGCCAACATCAGCCAAGTCTACACTCAACGAGTAAGCATATTCTCATCCTCAAAATTGCGACCAACCAAATACTGACCCTACCCCAGGCTTACATGCGACCTTACGGCGTTGCGACCACTCTGATTTCGCTCGACTCCGAATATGGCCCCCAGCTGTTCAAGTGCGACCCTGCTGGATACTACATCGGTTACAAGGGAACTGCGGCAGGCCCGAAGCAACAGGAGGCGCTGAACCACCTTGAGAAGAAGCTCCGTAACAAGGAGCATGCGGAGGGATCTTGGGAGGAGGTTGTTGAGCTGGCCATCACAACACTGAGCACAGTTCTGAGCATGGATTTCAAGAAGGGAGAGATCGAGATCGGTATCGTGGGTGGACCTCGACCTGACGGTGAAGAGGGAACCTACTCGGGATTCCGAACATTGACTGAGGACGAGATTGACGACCGGTTACAAGCTATCGCAGAGAAGGACTGAGCGAGTGGAGAGAATGATATGGAACATGGGATGAAACATATCGGCTGGCCATAGTAAAAGGTCGGTGCACTTTGTCGCGAGGAATCAGAGGTCTGATTCGTGGACTGCAGGGACGACGTTCTGCTCCCAGGAACGCGGGCCATGCAATGTCAATGCAGGGGGGTGGATTATCAAGATTAGAGACTTGGATGCCGTCGTGGGCGTGGGTCCTCGCCAGTGTGTCACTAGCCGTCCTGACCATGTGCAATAGAAACTGATGAGACTTTTCAATTGAGCAAATGACAACAGTCGCGCCTGATGACCCAATTGAGGACGAGTATGCCTCGCACCAAGTTGCTAAGAGCCTACGACGGGCCTAACATATGCCAGTTAGTGGGTCATGGATGCATGAGGTAGTGCAGGTTTGAGAGTTGAGAAAACCAATATTTCTCAATAGTGGATCTATTTCAGACATGAACAAAGGCGCAAGCCTCGCAGCGAAGCCAATTCGATTTGGTGCAAGTTTGTTCTAGCGTGGTTTGTTCTAATTTTGGTCAATGCGCATACCTGTGTCATTTACTTTCTCCAAAACAAGCTCAATTGGTATGATCTCCAAGTCATACGAGGATCTAGAACGTGAATGACAAAAGAGGCTTCTTGACGACTGACTGCAAGTACATATGATTTCCAAGTTTGAATGAATTTGCAAACAGAGCTATCTCGAAATATGCTAGTACCTTCATCACATCCTTGGAAGTGATAATCATATGGGATCAAATATGTCAATGCACAGATTTGAAGGAAACAAGTGGCTGGTAATGAATGATTCTCCTGGCATGGACAAGCTCGTTGACAAGGCTTGTGAAATATGATCTGAAAGTGAAAGCCATCCATCTGGTCGATCGGATCTACTACTACGTCCTTGCAGGGGGCCCTGGTTTACTGGGAAGCTCCTTGGAGTTGATGGCTGGCTACCCATAGTAAGCGCCGATTTGAGCCTCCCAGGGGCGCTGAAAGAAAACAAGCCACGACCAATCCAAAAACAGGGTCAAGTTCTGATGTAGTTAAGTTGTCTACAGAACCAAGGCGCGGGAGCGGGAGCGGGAGCGGGAGCGATTGAAAGTAACCGAGACGGAGGAGTTCATGTTGAGGATGGTATGGGATGGGAGGCGAACGTTGAGAAGGCGAACGGTAGAGAGTTCGTATGTAGATTAGGGCTTTGGTTTGGGTAAGTCAATAACGGTTGAAGAACATGAGGAATGGTGTTGGTTGGGGGAGAGAATGTGAGCGGTCTTCAACGGCGCCATGCAAAGAATAGAGGACATGACGCCACAGCGTGGACCAGGACCAGTTCATTGGATTGTGGATGCTTGATAGTGAGTGAGTGAAGATGCGGTCAACTGACGATTCTGTGCCTCGTGGTTTCGAGCAGAGCCCAATGTTTTGCAATATCTGCGATATGCCTTGTTGAAATGAACCTGGACGAGCTGGAATTGACAAGCCAAGTAAGCAAGCTAGGTGCTAAGTTATTAGATGTGATAGATGCAGCATGCCCTGGGCTGGTCTCAGATCTGACTTGACATGGACTACCACCTTGACCCCCCATGTCAACCATCTGGTAGGCAATCTAGCATTACATTCTGTATCAAACCTGGAAGTAGGTGACAGGAGTCGTCAATCACCCGGGTAAACAACATGAATCATCATCTCGATAACTCCTCATATCGGAATCACCGCTATTGACTCAGCCTTTTGATTTTGTCTTGTGTCGTGTCATGCCCATGTCTTGTAGGGTTACATTCACTTTTCAGACGGCCTCGTGTAGATAGGCTTGACCCTTTACAGCCATCCAGCTCGCCCCGGACAGTTGTGAAAGCTTCATCCGCGCGCCTATTGGCCTCGCTGCCCCGATAGAGCTACAGGGCGTTTCCTATTCGGGAACAACTAGTGAGTGGCTCATGGGTAGCCAGGTAGCTGAGCCGGCGCCAACCCACCACATCCACCTGCGCTATTCAACAACCTACACATTTATTTTTCTCTCGCAACTAATTGCCCATCAAATACTTTGACCGTCTCTTTGCTTACACGCCAAGGCAGGTACTGTATCTCAAGCTTAGCATCTCTCTCATTGCGGAGACTTGTTTCTGACAACCACACCCACCCCTGCAGGAAAGGTGACTGCACGTTTCCTAGCGTATAACGTTAACATACCCGGTGTATTTTTACTTTGTTCTGCTCGGACAAAGATGCTTTTTAGGATGGTTTGGTCCGTCGGAAAAACTGAAGATATGTGAAATTCGCAATGGCTTGAGTCTTGACCTACGCCGCTCTGTCTAAAGACGGAATACGGTATCGTGCTTAAACTACAAGCCGAGCCGAGAAGAAAGAGAAACGCCTCTTTGACGCCTCTCAAGTAGAACATCACGGATCCTCGACCCTATCGGGAGAGGAGAACCTGGTGTAGCTGGACACACACCCATTGATTTCATCCTCACCCTCAACACCATGCCATGCTCATGACGTGCCACACACATACACACTACCTGCCTACCTAGGGCTCTTTACTCTCCGGGCCCTGCAGTACTCTGCATATATCCAGGGGCAGGACAGGGTAAGGAGTAGGGCTGAGGGTAAGGCTTTGGCCTTGTGCTTGGGTTCCATTCGATAGCTTGATGGTTTGCCACCAGCTGGTCCGGGGTCGTCGATGTTTTTGAGCTTGCACTTGAACATGCGCTTGCAAAGGGCCGTCCTGAGTGGAGGCACATCTTGACTCTCTCACTGGTGGCCCAGGATTCTGTCTCAGAAGGCTGGCTTTAATTGCCGAGCCTCTCATGTGTGCGGTAAGGGCTCTTCGACTAGGAAGAGAGAGGGGGTGCTTGATGTCGGGTGGTATCCCCCCTTGGACCTAGTAGCCGTTCGCTTCCCGTTGGTGGAGCATGGCATGCCTTTGGCAAGCTTAGGTCGAGCTGTAGACTGAAGTTAGACTAGATGGAGACTTTTCTGGAGCAAGAGCTTCTTGGAACTCTTCTTGTTGTCTGTGTCTGTTTCTAGTTTCTCGATGGAGTATCTGGGAGGCCTTCGACAACCATCACGATAATACAATACAAAAAGGATGCCCGGTTCT